GCTGACTCCCGTGGTAGAATGTATGCGAATACGACAGGCCCAAAGGGCAGCATGGACGAAATCATCCCAACGATGAATGGCACCATTAGTGTACTTTCGAAGCATTTGTTTTATGACGCCGTTAAACCGTTCAACCTTGGAGTTCGTGCGGGGGTGATAGCACTGGTAAGTTTGTGGTTAATACCAACACGCTTTTGGTACTCTTTCATTAATAAGCTGCAGAAATTAGATCCCGGTCGGTGATCAACTCAGAGAAGTTTCCAAAATTCATGACAATTTCTTCATACAAGAAATCAGCAACGTTTTCAGCCGAAGCAACTGGCATAGCACGAGCAACGCACCAATTTGTAGCGTAATCAACACCAATTAACAACCAACGATTACCTTTTGTGGACGTGGGCAGATCTAAGAAATCCAAATGCCAACGATCAAATGCGGTGGGAACTTTTAGTGGGTGCATAACATCCTTGTGAGCTAGACCTCGTCGACTATTTAGTTGGCATGCCGGACAGAGTTTCAACCAGTCAATAATATCTTGTTTGATTCCAGGCCACCAAAAACGAGAGAGCATGTAGTACAACGTGGTTTTTATTCCTGCGTGACCTAATGATTCATGATATTTGGCAAGAGTATCCGCCCGTTCTTCGAAAGGTAAATAAGGTACATCATGAACTTGATCGGTATTTGGCAGTTTAACATGTCTATAAATACGATTGGAGATAATACTGAAGTTATTTTGTTCTTTGTTTAACACGTCGTTAATCTCATCTGATTTTACCTTATCCCTTGATAGAAATAGTAATGGCCAGTCCGCACGTACCAGAGGAGGTAGTTTATCCCAAGCAGCATATAACATGTCAGGTTCGAGTGATTCTTCTTCAGGAGCCATCTCTTCTGACGAGTAGTTCATACGCGATAGAACATCAGCAATTTGGTTGTCTTTTCCCGCTTTGTAAACAATGGTTGGAGCCATAGCTTCTATTTCGTTGATCCATCTGACAAGTCGACTGGGAGGATTTTCTTTGGATCGGAAATATTGTAGCGGCATATGGTCAGAATATACGGTATAGCCAGCAGGACAACCATCAACGTAGCAACGCCATTTCCTTAGAGCATAAATTATACCCAACAATTCTTTTTCTTGCGCAGGCATACGAGATTCGCTTAACGTGAATTTTTTTGACTCGAAACAGATTGGATGCCAAGGCAATTCGGAATCATCATCAGGTTGGTAGAGTACTGCACCACAGCCACGATCGGACGCATCGACTTCAATTTTGAAAGGTTTGTTCATGTTAACGAGTTTAAGAACAGGATTTGAAGTAAGCACCTTTTTTAGTGTATTGAAACTTTGTTGGCAATCTGGGTTCCAAGTAATGGGCCGTTTCTTGTGACCAGTTCCACGAGTGAGATCAGTTAGAGGGGCTGCAATGGAAGCAAAATCTTTAATAAATCTTTTGTAAAACTGTGCAAATCCAATGAATTGTCTGACTTCTTGAACGTTAGTTAGTTTGGGCCAATGTTCTAGAACTTTCACCTTTTCCGGGCTTGGTTTGACGCCATTGCTTGATATATGAAAACCCACAAAAGTTAGTTCCTTTTTTCCAAAATTGCATTTTTTAAATTCACGATAAGTTTTTCCTTTCGCAACAATTCCAATACATGACGCACATGTTGTTTATGTTGTTCCAACGTATCACTCCAGATAAGAATGTCGTCTAAGTAAACTAACGCAAATTTATCAAGGCAATCTGCAAGGACATTATTCATCAATCGTTGAAACGTAGGTGGTGCATTTGATAGACCAAAGGGAAGTACAAGAAAAGCGAATTTGCCATAGCGTGTATTGAAAGCTGTTTTGTCGATATCTTCATCCGCGATTCGAAGCTGATGATAACCAGACTTGAGATCGATACTAGTAAAATATTTGGCACCGGCTAATCGTTCCAAACATTCATCAGGGCGCGGTATACTCGACGAATCTCTAACGGTAAGTTTATTCAAAGCTCTATAGTCAATACACATTCTTAATTTACCCGGTTCTTTTGATCCTGGATCAGGCTTTTTTCGAACGAATAGAACGGGAGCGCCCCAGGGAGAGCTACTTGGCTTGATTAACCCCAATTTGAGTAACTCTTGAATTTGCATTTTTAACTCGTCCAATTCCAATGGAGACATCTTGAATGGAGGTCTTGATATCGGTCTTGCATCGCCAGTGTTAATAATATGTTGAATCCCACGGTCTGGTGGTAATCCAGGCAGATCAGTCTTAAAAATTTCATCAAATTCTTGAATCAGCTTTTTCCAGTAATCATCATCCGTTGTTTGTGAATATGCGCCGTCAGGTTTTTCAGTGTCTCGGATGCAGAGCAAAAAACTATCCGCCCCTTTCTTCATATATCGGTCAGCTTGTTTATGTGATATTAAATAACTAAGATCGGATATAGAAGTGAGTGACGAATGTTTTGTATGTGCTTTAGGTTTTAATTGTATACTTCCATTATTTATGGACCAGACATCAGTGTCCCAATTTGGAATAGGTTTTTCTTGTTTTAACCACGAGCGTCCTAGAATGAGATCGAATTTCGTTGGAAAAACATAGGCCAATATAGAGGTGGTATAACCATTTAAGTTCACGTTTAAGTTTATCTTGTACTTAATTTCGGATATTTCGCCACCAGCGGTTTCCACTCGTCGATTGAGTACTGGGATTAGTTCTTGACCTGCCGGAATTATGTGGGGTGATACATAATTTTCGCTTGCACCTGAGTCAATCAACACCTGTAAAGATTGTCCATAACAAGTACCATCATATAACGGCAGTACTGTGCCGAGAGTATTTAGTTCATCCAAGTGATTAAATTCCTCAGTCAAATCATTAGTGGGATAGACAATAGGGGTCAATTCGACTACGGATCTATGTGGGCTTTGAACATACGCGATTACATCCTGTTTTGTTTGGGGTTCCAAAATAGGATAGTCTACTGTGTCACTAGGGTCAAAAGCATATGGGTCAAAATCAATAAGTTTATTATTTTTTTGTTTAGCATTATCACCGACATCTTGTTCCATATCAATTAAATTAATGGAGTGTCCATATCGACGGTTACGTAATTCATCCAGCTTTTTAATTTCATTCAATCTTTCCCGACAAAAACGCTTGATGTGACCCGTTTTGTTACAGAAAAAACATACAGCATTGGAGTTTGAATTTCCACCACCACGCGACCTATTGTTGTTGTAGCCACCACGACTATTTCCATTTCGGGAACCACCGTTGTTTCTGTTGTACCTATTATTTTGTTGGCGATTGTCAATCCAATCCAACTCCATTGGGTCGTCAATGTAAGTTTTAACAACAGGATGACGTGCTGGAGGTCTAAACAGTGTTTCTTGATGATGAGCGCTGTCAAATGTAAGTGCTGATTTAGCTGCAGTTCTGAGGGTACCATCGTAGTATTGTCGGACGTAAGCGGCAGTGTTTACGTTTGACAATCCGCGCATGAATTTGTCACATGCCTCATCATCTGTCATGTTTTTGATAGCTAATTTATAATCCATAAAAGTATTGATGTAAGAGTTCAAGTCACCTGTTTGCTGTAGCTTCGCAATTTTGTCTCTTGCTATAAGTTCGGAGTTTTCAGGACAGAAAAAATCGACTAAAGCTCGTTTTAGTTCTAACCAGCCAAGAGGAGCCTCGCCATCTCTTGGTTTTTCAATCGTTCGGTACCAAGTGTCAGCCTTGTCTTTGAGTAGTCCTATAGCATAAGTACCAGTTTCGTCGTCCTTCATTTCTTGAACACGAGCATAGTTTTCAACAGCAGATATCCACCCATCGATTTTTACAGCATCACGGTCACCATAATAGTCATCAGGTTCCTTTGCTTTTATATTTTTGTTCTTGTTCACTTCTCGCATCAGTTTTGCCAAGTTATTAACCAAATCTGCCATGTCATTGTATGACGCCTTAGCCTCTTGATTTTCAGCCATATTAATTCTTGTTTCCCTTTGAACGCCTGGTGCTACCAATTGTAATCCTCAGATGTCTAGTTGACCCTTACGTAATAACCTAACACGTGACTATCACGTGAACCTATTCCTATTGGCTAGAAGAGTACTCTTCAAAGTACAAGTACAAAATAAAGTATGAGATAAAAGATAAAGATTTATTAATTATAATGTGGGGTTATTTATACTATCTAAATTGATTGATGTTTCATATGTATGTAATTGTTTTATGCTAAATTAGTTTATGGCTTTGCTTGTTTGTTCTTATGACATATAGTTTTGATTTCTTGTTTGGTCTTGCTTTCGTGACCTTTGGTTTAAACCTTCGTTTGGGTCTTGTGAGTTCCATTGCGTCATAGTAGTTCTCGGTACCGGGCTGTTGTGCCGGAACTATTTCATTGGCTGGATTGGTTCTGACAATATATCAGATTACAAAAACAATTAAATTTCAAAATGCATATAATTTACAGGTCACGTGATAAACACGTGGAATGATTGCTATTGGGTAATAGTTTAGCTGTTAAAAAAAATGCAAAAAGAGGTAATAAACTAGAGACCATTGTTTAAATTTCAAGGAAAATTCCTTATACTAAGTAACTTCATTGAATAACCTGTTGACTTTTTTTTTGTGAAAGAAATACAAAGAAGACGCCTTTAATTTTAAAAACAAGGAACCATGATATAAGGCTGTACGTATAATATATGAGTAAATTTATTCAAACAATTAATAATAATAACTCGTTTGGTGTGATGCGAAAAGATCTGAATGATAGCAAATATCACTAGGAACAAGGTAAAACCAAATTTTTAGAATCGGAGAGTACCGGGGTAATGACATGAGACCGCTACTATTATCTCAATTTTTTTTTTTCTTCTTCTTTTGCGGTGAATTGTCTGTATTTGTTGATCCCTCAGACTACTATTTATATATCCAGTGTGGAAGGCTTAAATTTAAAGACATGTTTATTATTTGTTATTACCAGTTTATTACATCATGTTCCAATAAGGCGTTGAATATTCTCCCTAAAGCTGTTTAGTTCTTCAACAAGATTTTTGATAGTGTTACTGGCTTGTTTAAGTGAAGAGCGGTAACGTGAAATAAAGATAGGGGATAAGATAAAAGTTCTTAAAAAGTGAGCACCAGACTATAAGTCGTCAACTGAGATAAATAAAATACAAAAGGGAAATGCTACGAAGAATCAGATATAAACATGTCTTCGAAGGAGTACAGTAAAATACAACTGGTAAGACTATTCAGTGCTGATTTATAAGAAGGACTTTCGTACAATTATAGTAGTCCTATATGTTTATAATGAAACCAGGCTTATATGAATAAGACTAAATCAGATTGTAGTAAAGAACAAACTAAAGATTTTACTAAATGTTTTTGAGGTCCTTTTATAAGAAAAGAACAGAAAAGTAGTTAGAAAAATATAGGAATCTGAATTCAAAAGGACCAACAGAAGAAAAGGGTGGTGTAACAATAGTCAGCATGTTATTCATAAATACAGGCAATTGAGAGCGAAGGAGAACAGAGGAAGTTGGATAACCAAATAATTTTTTTTTTTTTTTTTTTTGAATTTGTAGAACTTTGAAATTATCTGGAAAATCGGATTTAAAATGAATTACAAGCTCATAAATTCGCATTTTGGACATATCATTTGCAAACTGTAAATAAAAAACTGCTTGCAACAGACTTGAATTCCGTAGAGTTTGATTCTTGTTATACTGGGATCACCACAAAGTTTCAGTTTATATATCCTATGTATCATGAGCTTTCAAATTTTTGGTCAACTTTTTTTTTTATCTTTTTGAAAGAGTTGTTATTATCTACCACGGACCAAGGACCAGAAATCTCTACAACGGCACCCGTCGTAAGTACACTTTCATTATTTAATATAAACAACAATCCATCAACTTTTGTTTTGCTAACAAAAGACTCTCCCCATTCTTTTTTAATGGCTTTGTTATGTCTAAATATCGATTTGAAGAGAGGTACTATAAAATGGAACTTACAATCATTTTCTTTTTGATTATTAATCTGTAAACGAATTGACTCTTTTTTCATATCGCTGGTTAAGACTTTTTTGCGTTAGTATCAATCCCTTGTTACAGAGTTTTTTTTTTTTTTTTTGGTTACTTACTAGACTTTGATTATTTTTCAATGGCACGAGGATTTGTCAAATCACAGCTCACACTGCACTAAGCTAGGCTCACACTGTAAATGGCTGGGCTTACATTGTAAATAGCCAGGCATACCGAACCATAATAAAGGACAAAAATTTTTACGGAAACAGAGGTTTGGTTTGAAAACCCCTCGTTAATGGTGTATGGAAGGGTTTTTGTTGTTGTCATTGTAAAACGTTTGTAAATTTTCAAACGAAGTGCAATTGGTAAGCTTGATAGTGAGTGGTTCTAATTGTGCAGGTGTTACATACGTGTCGTGCTTGATTTTCTCAATCCTTGCTAAATCTACTTCATTCAATACTGAATTTTCTGAATCGAAATCAATGATATTGTAGTATAGTAAGTCTTGCTTATGAACCACAGGTTGATATGACTGACAAAACTTTCCATGATTTGATTTTCTCCCTAATAAGGGACATTATCTACATCTATTCAATTTAATTTTTTTGCGCCGTCATTGAAAAAGAAAAGCATTCACTTCTTCTTATCTTCTTTAGGAAAAAAAAAAAAAAAACTAACATTCGCTTGTATATTCTTTTCATCATAAATGTTGTCTTCCCAGTTCAATATTCGATTCTTCAGCTGCTATCTTTATAAGTTTATTCATGAAATTACTACTCTCACCACCTGCACTGTTGAATACATCAGCTAGTCTTTTTTCGATCATCATTGATGAAATTGTTGACATTGCTTTGATAATTCATGTGGGTTATATGGTAGTTGATTGTGGGTGCAGTTATATCCGTTGGAGGGTGTATATGTCAAAAGAAACTCAAGTTTTTCCTTGGCGAATTTACTGAGCTTCACATTTTTTTTTTTTTAATAGCTCTTCTACCTAGTTGAACCGGCCAGTAGAGTAGAAAGCCAAAGCTTTCTTAATATCCCACTCGTTGCATCTTTTGCCAGTAAAGTATGTCATAAAAAAAAAAATAAAAAAAAAAGAAAGAGCAACGAGTTTGAAGAACTGCATGAAAACGGAATTGTCTAGACCTCAGTATTTTTTGTTCAAACGTATTTTTTTTTTTTTTTTTAAAAAAAAAAAAGAAAGATGTATGTTAAGGGAGAAGAAAAAGTGTGTGAACAAGATTGATTTGTAAGCTGATGAACAAGAGCTTACATCAGAATAATTTTTTAAACCAGCCAAAACGTTTGGGTCTTTACTTGATAGTTGTTCATCAACGTTTCAATAGTTGTATGTATTAATAGTGAAGCGTATTTTATGAAAATCAAAAATCGATCATCCAAAAAACCTAAGATTTAAATCGATGTATGTAGAGACCATTATTGTCTAAACAAAAAAAAATACGGACAGGTGTAGACTCTTGTTTGCTTATATCTTCGAAACACCATACTCATAGCTCTTCGCAAAAGCTGTACAACAACTGTGGTCTGCATTAATAACAGCATCTACACACACTACAGCCCCAAAGAAATCAAAAAAATATATATGAGGCTACCAGGGGTCGAACCTGGAATCTCCTGATTCGTAGTCAGACGCCTTATCCATTGGGCCATAGCCCCTCATATGATTGATGCGTGCGCAGTTTGGTAATGATATCGCTTTCGTTCACTTTAAAAGTGGCTTGGTAATATTATTTTGGTTATTCTTCTTTGTTCCTTGGTTCTGGTTCCCTCATTTGTGGAATGGCGCGTTAATCTTGTCTGAGAAATGGAGATCTAGTTGGTACTGAGTTTGGCGGTGAGAAAAGAGTTTCTAAAAATACGTGATAAAGACCCGACAAATAATATTGCGGTGAAACTATTTTTGGTGTTCTAGAAGTTTTTCTGGTATTCTTTCTCCGAAGGTTCAGTTCGCGTCTTTTTGCTGCTTTTCTAAAATTGGCAGGTTGTTAATTATCTTAGTCGGTTACTCGTGAAATTCTCTTCTTTCTCAGTTACAATTATTTTTATTGTTATTTCGTCGCTCTCTCTCGTATCTCACTTATTTTATTATTACCTTCCTGTTTTGTTTAGTTCTTTATTTTTCTTATTATTCATATTATTTCCATCATAGTTTTCCCGTACCCTTATTTGATTTACTCTATTTTTGTATTGTTCTCATCATAGTTTTTCCGTACCCTGTTATTATTTTATTCCATTTTCGTATTAGTTATTTTTGTACCATAGTTGACAGCTGTCAAAACGTCTATATAAGATTGTCTGATTTATAATAATAAACGTCATCGAATTCTTTCTTTCTGATAAACTTTACTTGTTTTTAAACACTTGTGATTTATCTTTACTTCTTTGCAGATTTCAAAGCTTATTAGTGCAAATCTATATCTTTTTGTCTGTATTCTTTAACAATTAGTCTTACAGTCTCCTTCTTGTTATTCTATACATTTGTTTATTCTTATTACTCTATACAAGGTAAACATAAAGACAATCAGATTCATTTCATGATTTAGTGACCGTTTAAAAGTATATAAACTAAAATTAGGTTATTATTTTAAATCACGTGATTAACACGTGGAGCCATTATGATTGGCGGAGAGAGTTTTAATTGTATTTTAGAGTCCGTGATTGTACGCATTTTCCTCAAATTTCAGGAACAAAGATATTTATTTACATACAAATTATAGTAAACCAGTTACAGCAAAAAATAATTGTACTAGCAACACACCAAGATGATATAAAACATAAATGTGTAGATGTAAAAAAAGAAAACAAGGGCAACTTTAAGGATGAAATATAAAACACAAATAGATACAAGTTTTCTGCTAATTTTATTTCAGCTATTCAATAATGATACAATTTTTAATCTTTCTACCATCCTCTTACAGGAACCCATACATCAACGACTGTATCACCTCCATCCTCAATAATAAGATAGAATAAATGACAAGCCGCGGTTAAGCAACAGTGATTAGGAATAACGCGAATAAGTTTGCCGATTTGTAATTCGGGTCTAGATAAAGTGGATTCATCCAAATGTTGCAAGATACCGTGTTCCTGAGAAACTTTAGTTAGGGTTGCAATCACTTTTGGTTCCTTTTCTTGTGGATCCAGTACACATCCGAAGCCACCTTGAGGAGCAGTATCTTTTGAAAATGCCAATGCGCCACCATCAATCAACAGACTGTCACGATCTTTGTATACACTTGCAATACGACATGCCACTGTGATTGCTACATCATTGTAATCACCTAATCCTGTCGAGACTTGTTGTCTATCCAAAAATGAAAACGCACCTGCATGCACTTCACTAATACCATCCAAGATTTTTTTCATAGCGGGTAAGTCCTCATGCATAAAAGCGGTGATTGCTTTGACAGTAGGTGTGGCGCCAATGGAAACATGCTTAATTTCGATATCGTGTTGAACAAAATAATCGCGAAATTGACGTGCCATGTCACATTCGTTTCGAAGATATTCAAGTGCCTCTGTTGAATTTTCTGAAGAATAAGAGTGGCCAGCGTGAGTGTAGATTCCTGTAAAATCAACACAGGGTGATTTTTGAAGCCTCTTCGCTAACTCAATTGTTTCAGGATCGTTAATAGGGACACCTGCACGTCTTAAATACAGTTAGTTTTTTGATGTAAAATACATATGTATCATGTATATTTACCCATATCCACAATCAACCTTTAAAAACACGCTCATCTTATGAGAATCGTCGTTTTCACCATACTCTGTTGTGTAATATGCTTCCAATGCCTCCAAAGTCGATAAATTATCTATTGTCACGGTTAGCTAAACATGTACTGATTTGATAGGATTGTATTCTTACCAATGAAGATTTGAAAAACAGTAACCTTTTTGGAAAGTTCAAAGATCTCGCTGAATTTATCTGGAGTGATAGGAAAGCCAAGGAGCACCTGCAGTTACAAAAATAAAAGGACCGTTAGCTACATAACCCCCAAAAAAATAAAAAAAAACTAGGAACTTACGTCTTGCAAAAGTTGAGAGTGAGTCAATTCAGAGTTAATCATTGCCTGAGCTTCTGCCATAGTAGACACGACAATGGCTTGAGTTTTAGCACCTTCGAGTTGGATGCGTGTTCCTTCGACGGACTAGAGATGCTCTGTCAGCATGTCAAATTGTAACTGGATGACGCTTTTCCTTTTTTGTTACCTTGTGAGTTTTTACATGAACTCTGATTTTAGTGTTCAACTCGGTTGTAACGGAAGAGAGTTTCTTTGAGTGTCTTTCTACAATTTTTCTGTCGATAACAAGAGAGGGTGTACGAAGCTGGTCCAGTTTCTTTCCCACCATGTTTTTCACAAGTGTGGCTTTCCATTGGTCAGTATGACAGGCAAGTAATGGGGTTGTTGTTTGCGCTACCATTGTGTCAAGAGAATGAAGTATACAGAAACAGCAAAAAAATAAAATAAAATAAAAAAAAGACTTAAATTTTGCCGCTTTTTAAAATAAAAAGGTACACAAATGAGTCATTTCGGATTTATTGGTGATAGTAAAAGCTTAGTTTATTGGGGGTTACTTCGTGATTGCAAGCTAAAGAAATAAAAGCAATCTCCTTTGTAATAATGTTGCTGTATTTTGGTGGATTATCAATTTCTTCTTGGTTGATTTGTTGATGTTGTTGAGTGTGGCTGATATAGCTGACTCAAACACTTCGACTAGAGTTTAATTTTACGCATACCATGAAAATAATGATGGCCCTCGTTAATTCCCACGTTAGCTGCTACTTACGTAATAGTGTGTGCGAAGTGTACATCTTTCAAATCGGGCATGTATATTAAATGTCAGCAAAAAAGGATCTAAACTTCCCGAATCTGTCGACGAGATGAAAAGCCTTTGCTGAACGGGCTGGTTGTTGAAAAGTCAGACAGTGAGTAAGATCCTTGTACTCTCTCTGATTGCGCTGCAGTAGTTTATTTATTAAATGAAAAAACTAGCTTACTTTATTACACCATACGAGATCATCCTTTTCTTTTGACGGGATGAAATAATGAATAAACTACCAAGTTTGAAACTAGCCATCATATCTAAAGACTAAAGTACAAGTATTTTTGAAGCTTAGATGGCCGGTTATGGTGTAAAATAATAACGTGTTCCATGGAAAATCTTCATGTTAGTTCTTACGAATATATTTATGTTACGTATTGTTTCATTATCTTTTTCTTTATCGGGATTCGTTTGTCCAAGGTACTAAATGATACTCCTATAGGATAAGACAGATTACTACGACGTTTAGAGTTATTTTTTATCTCGAGGTTTCTAAAAGGTATCGGACTCCCAGTTTATTTACAATTTTCGAATTGATATACTATTTGACACAGTTGAATTCGCAATTTTTACTTTTGTTAGATCCTTACGCATTATTTTCCCCAAATCAATTAACTAACAGACATTGTAATTTTTTAGGAAGAAATACTCTTGCAGTACGTTACATAAAGTTTTGTTTCTGCAATAGACATACATTCTTCTTCTTATAGCAGGCCGTGTACACAACCCGAACTTTTTTAAAATGATTTCATGCAAAAAATATTTCACTTGTACAACATATATGTTTGAAAGACCGCAATCCATTTCTCGAGGCACTTCACGCCTCAATTGATCTAACGCGAGTAGTTACGTAAAGCCAATTACACGATGGTTCAGATTGCAAAGACGGTCAATTACCTGTTCCATCAGTTTAAGCAATAATTAAGGGAATCGGAGAAAAGGGCACACCTCTCCCTAGGAAACATACTGATACAAAAAAAAAAAAAAACTCAATGCTGGAGATTTGAGTTTTTTACATACCTTTACAAGACGTAAACCATATGCTTCCTGCAGTACAATAGATGCAGAGACAAACCCCAAAGACATTCACATTCCGAAACCAACTTTGATTCATTATTTAAAAGAAATTGGCTTTGGATCTTACTTCGCAACACACAGTGGCACGTTCAAAAAAAGAGACGGCATTGTAACTAAATGAAAAGAAGGCCATTTTGTTTTATAAAAATAAATTAAGACAATCGATAGATTTTATTGATGTAATCTACTTATGATAGCGAAATAATTTTTTACTTTTTACTTTGATTGCGATTTTACAATCACACTTTGGTGGCTCTGTAAAAGCTGGCATACATATTTACACGGTCAATAGCTTGACCAGGACAACGAATACCAAGAGGTTCAACACTGAATCCATGCTTCACAAATAATTCATTGTACCATGGTTGTGTGCCTGCACTTCTCCAATAAACCTGTCCACCGCTTTTTTAATGTTCGCTTCATTTCCCTGATCTCATCATCCAATTCCTGACAAGAGGTAGGATCAAACCAATCCATATGATCCATCACGACTAACCGTGTCAAATATCTATCCCCCATGGATTTTAGCGAGTCTAATATTGATTCTGTATGTAACCTAAATGAATCCAGTGCCCCAGAGGTCTAAATAAAAAGTTTTTTTCAGCGTCCTATTATTTGTGATGCGCTTATGCCATTTTTTTTTTACCTTTAATTGATTAAACCCATATTCTGTAAGATATGAAGGGCAGCTAGTTGGAGTATAACGTTGGTTTAAGCAAAGATAATAAAAGTATGATCTTGGTTAACAGAGAAGGCAAAGGTATGGGATCCAAAGTATTTTCAATATACTCTTGGGTTGTACACTCTTTCAGAAACATATTCATTTGATTGATTGGAACTATATATATACCATATTAGTTTAAAATATAAACCTCTTTTTCAGACTATCTTGTTATTTACCGCCGAGCGCGTTCCACATAAACATTGGGTTATGAGAATTTTTTGAATCATGGGCGAAAAAATTGCAGGCCTTACTTTGGTGTCCCAAATATGTTTTTGAACTTTAATTGTTGAAGCGGATGTCATTGTCTTGATGTCCTTTTCCAATCCTTGCATACGAATCCACCATTCGAGAATTGACAGTGCTAAACCGGAGTAAACCAGTCTTATAAAACTTGTGATTAAATCGATTACTGTTTTCACTCCAATACTGAACGCATATGAACTCAAATGGGGTGATATGATGTCATGTAGCAACGTGGAAAAGTGAGGATGATTGCCGTCACCAAACATTCTCCAAAAATCTTTGTACTCTAATGATGCAATACTAGCAAGTTTTAGCTCCAGTAAATGATTCTATATATGATGATTAAAAAAAAAGGGAGCAATGGTTTTTAAAATGAGTCTACCTGACAGGGATTCATATCAATGCAATGAATTCGTTTGGGATGGGCTTTCAATGCTATTCTAAAGCGTTATCGCCGGCGGATGTGATGACAAACATAACATCTTGACTGGTAATGTTTAAATATTGGAGGTCAACACGTGGGTCTTCCCAAGTAAAAGCGTATATATAAGACCTAAACTGCGTATGACAAGGCAATATTGGGTTATAGTCCACTCTCCATTGTTTGTTTTGATGTAAAAACGAAGTGCGAGAAACAATATTAAACGATTGTTTACTTGTAACACTATCGGTATCATCCGGAATTTCTACCAGATGAGAAAGCTCATTTTGACGCGCATTGGAACAACCTAACCAAACATAGTATGGCATTTGAATCAAGTAAGGGATAATAAAATGATTACGACGGTTCAAAGATTTGATGGTACCAAACTTGTACTCGAGATAATCACGACGGCCGGGGCCTAAATGAATATGATCAAGCTCAAACCAGGCTTGCCAAAAGTGTCTTGTAAACCAATTACATTGTCGATTTTGTTGTGGTGACCATTTTTCTGCTGGTGCGCTTGAACGGCCAGAGACATAAAAATCAACAACACCGATGATACCTTCAGGAGATAACAGGGATTGTATACGATCCACAACAGGGTGATAGTCATCCATCATGGATACTTTTTTGAAGAAAAATAAAAAAGGTGAGTTTAGGTGCTTCTTTTGGTTTTGTATTACTTTACATGCATAAGAAACAGTAACTAATCCAACACGTCCTTCCAAAGAGCCTTCAGGTACTTGAAAAGTGGAAGCATCTTGACAGAGGACAGTGACATTTTTCCAACCCTTTTTTAAAAATCTTTCTTGAGCGACTTTACAAAGTGAAGGTGTTAAATCCACAAGAATAATCTTCTCAAATGAATCTACGGGTAAAAACGCATGCATTGTTTCGATATTCCATCCGGTTCCACCACCAAGATCAATCCAAATCGGTTTCTTTTGCATAATACCCGTTGCCAGCTGTTCCTTGATTTGAGCGGCGCATAATTTAAGCATAGTTTGACGTCCTCTTAATAAGGAGCCACGGGAATTGTCATAGACTAAAAAAAAAGAAAGTTAGGGAGTCAAAATAAAAAGGAGTGCATACGAACTTGATTATGTCTTTACTTTGTGCTTGGTCTTGGTAAAATGATTCAAGACGACTTTGTTGATCATGGCCTCCGATCCGTTTAAAAAAGCAGGAATACATGAATTGAATGGGTGTCTGAATTTTATCCCAACTGGCTAAACATAATGTCGTTATGGCTACACCAAAGTAAAGTAGACGTTGATACGAATCAAACGAGATACGCGCTTGCACCTGGACCATGTAGATACATAACAGAGAGACCGGAACAAGTCCAAGTTTTAGAGAGAATGGTAAATAAGTGTATCCTTTTCAAATTTCATTTACAACGGTTGACGTGTTTTTTCACACACAGATAATTAATATAAAAGAGCTAAAACTAAATAAAAAGGAAGATTTGCTTCTCGTCTATTCTCCCGTGATTTTATATAAACCTTTTTTTGTTTTTTTATAGCTTATCTAGGGCACTCAGGGAGATCTCACACTTATAGATCAACACATGTATTGGCCACCTTCCAATAGCCAAGTAAGTTACTAAAACGTTTGCATAATAATAATAAACAGCGTCTTTTTTGAATTGTAACGCCGCACATCTCTCACATGATCTAAACCTTCTTACATGAGTTGCATTGAATTCACTTTATTGGCTCAATTATAATATGTACTTAGTGTACAATATCAAATGAGCCAAAACTTTTTTATTATATGTGACAGATTTTTTTGATCAAAGTGGATCCAGTGATCAATTATAATTCTTTACGAGTCCATCACAGTGTCTTTGTAGTACATTGTAATTTTTTTGATCTTTTGGTAGATGACACCCCCTTTAACATACTATCTTCCCCAATCAAAGTTCCAGATAAACCATAAGTAGAATATCCTATTGGTTAAATAGACTCATCCGGTTGTGTCTGCAGTGTTCATACCTCAAATTCAGACAATATCAGTTTTTTTTTTTTTTCAGACGAATCAAATTCATTCAGATTTAAAGGAAATTTGTGTTTTTTACCTGTGGGTATCTTTATGCCTTCACCAGCGAGAGCATGGCAGCCGCATTTGAGGTGGCGCTTTGTATTGTAAAGACATTGGGTCGTCCATCGCCTCTCCAAATTGAAGCTGCAATGGTGTACATGTTTTTCGTGGTCATAAGGCCACGATTCCAACGAGTGTTGCATTTTTTGCAGAAGAGTATCTGCTGGATTGATCGCTTGTCCACTCCAGTTTCATGCTTCAAGCTATCTGAGCTATTTTCTGGACAGTTATTGCAGTTATAAGAAAGAAATGATATTTCATCAGTAATTATACAATATAGACATTTATATGTTTCACCGTGGATGTTTTATACTCATTTATGTCAAGCAGCAACAATCTACAAGTTTTTCCTGCAGCTTTAACTGTCTGTATATCATTTCAAAGACGCCATGCCTATGCTCTCTGATCTATACGTGAGTCTTCTTTTTTTGTCACCTCTTTTGTGGTTTTTTATTTTTAAAAAAAAATAGAAGAAATATAAGTAATACCAGGATGCGTTCTTTCCTCGTCTTGAGCTGACTTGAGGGGTGTTGCTTTGATACTTTGCAGCTGTCTTCTTTTTCTCTTTTTGTTTTTCTTGTTTTCTTCTGTCGTCCCTCCTTGTATTTGTTTGATCCGTTAATTAGGATATTGACAGCATTCGGGAGGGCACGCTGCTTCCCAATATATCTGTTTTTTTCAAATAAGCATATAAACGGTATCAGAGTACATATATCATATAGTTTTACGTAAGCAATATCTATTGATTAATTAATTAATGGCCGTTCAATATACATATTGCTTTCAATAGTCTAAACTTCAAAATATATGTCAAATACTTCTCTTAAGAAGAAAAAGCGTCCATCCAGTTCTAAAAGTAAGCATAGATCCAGCGATATCACTTCTTCACAATCAATACCAACAATCTGTCGACTACCGGGTTTTAAAACATGGATTCCATATAATCGACATGATCAAAATTAACAATTTTCATGGAATGCAAAAAGGCTTCATATGTCGTTTCCGTGATGTCATGTATGTATGTGACCAAGAAGATAAAGATTTGGTTGAAAGTTATCTTAAAAATGTTGGTATAGACTGGAAGACACGGAAGTTAGTAAACCCTGATTAGATATTTGAAAGTGTAAGAAGATCTATACACCCAGCCGAAGGATTATATCCCATCTTAAAATTCATTTTTGAAAGTTATGGTCCTCTCAGGTGTGAACATTTCGGCCTTAAGCTCTTTAATTACACAGCTGTTGCACGTTTTGGATTTGGTGAAGCAAGGGCATATCTCAGACGTTGTTCATGGGCCCCCATTATATACTGAAAAAGGCTTGGTCAAAAGCAATCTTATGACATATAAATGCTCTAGAGAAACAAGCTCAATTGAAGGAGCATGTTATATGAACATTGTTTAAAGATTCACTTCTTAAAACGGATCAGTCAGATTAACTGACTCAATTTAGCCAATTACCGGCCATACCATAACCTTAATAAAGTAATAAATGATTTAACCAAAACTCTATAAACTAAAAAATTAAATTACCATAGGCTGGGCCAATCAACAAATCGGTAAAAAGCATCAAGATCATTATAGTCCTTGGCTTGTACTGGTCATTAATTTATTAGTAGCTAAAGTAAGTCACGATACCGTCATGAATTATGCCTGTGAACGTTATGGGAGTTAATTGGATTTTAAACAGAATAGTGAAACATTTGGTGTCGATATACCAGACAGTGCGTTACCTTTTTGCATATTGTAGCAGAAGATAAGTGAGATAATAATAATGCAGATAGGCGTAGAATAAAACCATTTTGAGAAGTTGTTAACCTAAGCGTTCCCAAAATGGTAAGATAGCACATGCTAGTATAGTTCAAAGTTTTAGATATACTGATTCGAAGTGATTATAAAATTTTGACTTGTTAGATTGGTAGACATGTTTAGAAGTGTATTTTATTTTGTCGAATTCGAGAGCCGAAGGAGGAAGGGGAGGGGGGGGAATTTTCTATGTAGTAATATTATTTTCATCGAGGCTTTTCAAGATTTGCAAGTGCTCGTTTTCTAAAACTTCTTCCGTGAGACCGCGAGCTCTTCTCCATTCTAAAAAGTCGTCATAATTCTTGACGGACCCTTTGCTGTCTTTAATAATTTTTTAAAGACCAGTAACGAATTATGGAATCTGCGCTTGTGATTCGAGAACCAATAGGTGATGTTACGAGGTTTCAAACCGGTTTCCTTTTGGACTTGACGACGTTGGTCTTTGGTCAATTTATCTCTATGCTGTAGATATCGAAAAAAATTGATTTTAGGTAGTGGGTTGTCTGTGCATCATAGGATGTAGCTGTACGACGTGTAAATTGTCTTTCAATCCCAAGTTGCTTCGTGACCACATTTGTTCGTTTACCCCCACGGCTCTTTCTGGTGATAGAAGCTCGTTTCTGTCGAGATTTCTTGCTTTCTTTCCAATCTTCATCCTCTGCAGCATCAGATACAATATAATCTTCGTCGTCTTCGATATTGACATCTTCCTCCATTTCAAAATCAGAAGTGTTAAATTCGCTCAGATTCAGAGGTGAATTGGGGTGATAGGGTGACATGCTTGAGTCACCAGTATTGCAAGGTGTGCCGACTGTTCCATCTACCGAAGGAGTTTCTTGAGGGATACATGTAGGGGAAGCAGGCAACGAAAAGAAAGGATTCAACATATTATTATTATTCGCACTTAAAGACGGAGTCACGGGTAAAGAAGTTGTTTGATGATGAATCCAATCAGGTTGAATATGCGTAAACAAAGTGAAATCCTGTTGGCCACTTGGAGCTGATATAAGGTTATTTGCAGCAGTCGTACTAGAGTTGTTATATGGCATCAAGTTATACGTATCCATGACAGAGTCAGAAATTTCATTCATCGTCACTTGATCGGGGTTCACCAGGTTGACTGAGTCTCTCGTGATAACAGGGATTTTTTCCGACTGGTTGGATAGGAAAGAGACATTACGTTTGATTTCCAGAGCGCCTTAATTAAAGGCTCAATAGCTTCGGTGGGGTTTTGACCGAAGGAGACACGACCATTTTCTATAATTTGGAACACTTGATGCATGATTTCAATACGATCTTTGAGTCGGCGTAAAGCAGAAAACATACGACGCGGCGAGGCTTCTACGTTTGCTGGTACAGTATTGCTTGATTTTGCGATAGTAACCATCATGTAATGAATTTGCAAAGCTGTGGACTCAAGCCAAGATTGAACATAGGGTCTGTTTCTGGATCTCTTGCGAGTACGGTTTTTTTGAAATTCAAACCAAATGTTGGAAAAGATAACAAAGTCACCATGATCAACAAATGATGGGAGGTCGGGAAACTGAAAAAGCAAATCATTAAGCGATGGCAAGTGAGTATTCTCTAGCTCGGGTTGATTCAATTCTTCAATTAGTAAAGGGTCAATGCTTGTTTGACTAAATGTAGTATTGAGATCTTCACAAGAATACTGTAGGTCAGAGTCATCGGGTGAGGAGAAGGGTGACAAGGTGACCGAAGCTGGTTGACAAGCAACGTCTTTTAGACTGGCAGGTGATACCTTGTTATTAAACAGGTTTTCATATACTTGGTCTTGTTGATACATTTTTTTTATACGTAAAAAAGATGGACAAGCTGAAAAAAAAATAAAAGGAGAGAAAACTATTGTTTTTTTATAAGAAAATAAAAATGTTTAGTATAAATAATAAAAAGGGTCGGACGATTTTCATCATCGTTCAAAGAGAAACCACACCATATAATATGGTCTGGGACAATTAAGAAGAAATCCTAATTTAAAAAAAAAGTGTAATAAGAGAAACATGTATTTTACCTGTTGTAAATAGATTATTTGACTAGTGTTTATATAAGGAAAAGCAATGATAGATGTAGATGGTGACAAAAGTGGAAATAAAGATGGCGTTAAGTTGATATTAATGCAGCAGGGATATCAAATTTTTCCTAATTCTTATATACATATGTATATACCATATTAGGCGAACAAAAGAGATAAAGAAACAAACACAAAGAGACCCTTTCTTTCACACTTTTCATGAGTGAATTAGGTAAGTGAAACGCCCTGGAATTTTATTGTCCTTTTACAGTCTAATGCGCTTTGTTTTGGTCAGGATCTACCTTGATGGAGAAAATCTAGCTGTACGTATGGTTTAAAAATATCTAATTTTATTTAAATTATTTGTTTGTTTTTTGTATGTATAAATATATACATATACACTTGGATGGCCGAGAACTTAGACATCTTCACTTCTCACGGGTATAAACTTTCCACGACCCTTGTTACGAATCCAATTGGAAATGAGCGAATTTGGGAATTTGATACAGGCAATAATACCGCCTACTATCAAAATAACGATAAATAATCCAACATATGTATTGTTCTGGTTGATTGTGGATTGTTCATAGTCCTCCATATCTTCTTCCAAGGGTAGCTGTGATGGTTTAACAGGTACTGACTTTTAATATCATAGAGCTTAGCGACTTGTTCAATAACTCCCTTATTAGGTGGTACAGCATTTTTTTGAACGGAATCTAGACTTTACATTTTGTAATTGTTTCACGATCGAGCTTGTTAATTCTGCTTTTGGCATGTAGGACTCTGCTTCAAGAATACTTGTAGCAATCTGTTGTGAAAGGCTGATATAGAATTTTAGCAAGACTATTAATAACTCTCTTCTATTCCGTGTTGTGTTTACCTGTTGTAAAATGGGTCTTGTCCCACCAGAGATAATCCTTGGGTTTACAAGAATCTCCGTCACACTCATCAAGGTAAGCATTGGATACACTTGTAAAGTTAAAAAAGACTGGATCGACATTGATATCGTTAACTAATGAATGAATATCAACGTAATCCATTTCTAATGCGTGATGGTGTTTATTCATATTCGCTACATCTTTCTCCAAACCGCGGTTGATATCCACTGCTGTGTGTTCGATTGATTGCTACCACTGTATCTTGATAATATGGCATATGTCCAAGTGGTGCGATATTAATACGATATAGCGATTGGATAAGAAAGCTTTGCGTGCCATTCTCTAATCACACAACAATTAGAGGGCCAATTTATATATATACATATATATATATATATTTAGTTACCAGTTGTTGTCCAATGCATTCCAATATCTCCTTATAATCAGGTTCCTGACGTCCTATGAATTCAAAAAATTAGATTATATAGAGAAAGGTATTGTGGTTGATTACCATGACGTTTTGACATTTCAAAAATATCTTGTACACCAAACCAAAAGGCATAAACGGTTTCCTCTGGCTTTAAATTTAAATTTAAGTTGTAATATGCTTCCATTTGATCTTTTAAGCTGGGTGTTTTATCTTCAATTGATTTAAACATTGCATTGTCACACACAGATCCACTGTAAGCGAAACTGTATAAGGATGCATTCCATCCTGCTGCTAAATATTCGCTCCATAATGATCCATCAGACCACCTTTGACTATTTCCAACGTCTATCATACTCATTGATTAAGATCTGCAAACAATAAAAAAAAAGGGACACGGTGTATACCTGAATTGGAATCACCAAACACTACCAGGTTCTTAACTGTTGCAGCTAGACTAATGACAGGCAGTTGAAGAGCGATGAACGAGATTAGATTGAACTTCATGTTAAAATGATGAACAAGGGAAGGTGGTCCCCCTTTAATTATTTTTTAATACCAAACCAAATCAAGCCGACAAGAGGTACACGTGATTTGACTTTTGAAGGCAGCGAGCGATCAATTTATTGTCAGTCACTGGGATCATTTCATTCGCTTCTGATGGTTCCATTAATAATAATAAAAAAAAATTGTTTGCCTATTTTCCCAATATGATACAAGACTGAGTATTCTTCCCTCTTTACTTCTCTTTCAGAATCATAAACATGTCGAGGTCCATTCATGACGACTTGTTTCCTAGCCATGTTCCTGAACCACAGTTTGATAATACAAGCAGCAAAATAACCTCAGCTCGTCGACATTCGGCTTCAGCATCCTTAAACACAAAAGAGGCAACAGACATTACTTCGTCATGGAGAATGAAGGCTCTAGTTTTATTGTGCATGCTATCATTACCTGGTTCGTTATAAAAATTGACTTGATCCGTTAAATAACTTATATTAATTCTATACGTCTATAGTGGGTTGTCATTATCTCGAAGCAACTATGGGAACATTAAAAACTACCCTAAAAGCTGTAAGTCGTTTGTGTGACAAAAAATAATCTGGCGGAGAAACTGATCCCTTCTTGCCGTTTTGCCCTCTTTTTATTTAAAAATAGTCAATGTCCATCAATAATACACAGTTCAGTATTCTTATCTTCAGTAACTCTAGTATACAGTGCTACCATTAATTGCAGGCATCTATTGATGATAT